GCCATCTTCTACCAGCTTTCACAGGCGTCCGTTTTTCTCAAAATGTCGTCGAAGTCACACGGATAGATTTGCCGAGTCATGGCCTTGGGTATGAGTCTGTGTCGATGTAGTTTTCGTCACATCGCGAGAGTAGATTGCATCGCAGCTCAAAGAAAGTGAGCATGAAACGAATTGGGACCCATCCCGCTCATCAACATTTACCGCACTTTCGACATGTCCTCTCTGACTCCATATCGATACGAGGAAGAACTCGTTTGTTGTAAACCAGACGCACGTGTACCGACGTGAGTGAGTTGTCATTTTTCATGCTTTCACGCGGATTATTTCTTCGGGTTCACAGTGAGTTTCCAGCTCTCGAGCAGGAATACGGTAATACTGGAAACTCCCCGGGCGATCGCCAGGATTGCTAATCTTTTTGAAATGGACTGTAGTCTCTACCACACTCGACATTGGTTGCGTTCTCAAACGCGAACTCGCCTCACTCCTGGGCCACCTCTCGTTCGCTTCCCGAGCAATTCCTGCCGCCCGTACATTCTCACGTCGCCTCTATGACCACGACAAGGCCACATCCGAGATGACATCTCATCGAATGCTGAGCTTCTCAGCCTCACCCGAGGACGCCCTGAGCTCCTGGCACCAGCCCCGGAACAAGATGGAAACCTCCAGGACCTTCGCTCCCACAGCTGTGGAGCAGTCTGACACCTTGGTCTAGCCAATCACTGAATAGTTCAAGGTCAGTAGCCCAACTTCCAAGTAGGACATTCACCAAGGATTCTGATAACTTTCTCTGTCGATCCTACTCCACAGTAATAGTCTGTCCTTATGCCTCTACAAGTAGTACAATGCTCTTGTACATCGCTGTCTAGACAGTCTTCACTCCTGATTATCATACACACGTCTCACTCTCGTAATACGTACTTACCATCTATATTGGTTGTCTCACCCGCTATCTCCTCTGTCCCTAATGGGAATGTCGGCATGGGCACTCCTCCGTAATTGGCCTCCGGCGCACTACTATTAAACTGGCATGGGTCACAAACCGCTCCTGCTCGATGCAGGCCGACCCACTTGGTCATATACAGCTCCTGCCCTCGGTAGGCCGACCACATGATTCGTTAACGCGCACTCAATTGAGGCCAGCTACTCTACTCTACATTCCCATTACTCCAAACTCACTCTCTTCTCTCTTGGTGTGCCGCGTCTCGCACGCGCGCGTGTGTCTGCTCTATACTCTAGCATATGGAGTAGAATGCTAAATGTTCGATTAGAGAATGAGTTAACCAGTCACGTACCATTGCTCCGCTATTGGCTCTTTATAACGTGTAACGTGACCCTGTTTACGTGTGTGCACAATCTTGCTCTCTCTACATACTGCTGTGTTTCATGGACATCACATGCTCGCACGCTCTGCAAATGCGCAGATTTCTCGTGCGCACAACAGAGCTTGCTGTGTTTTCCAGTTTCCTTGCTTGCATACAGCTTTCATATTCTGACCCACCCTAGTGTACCCTCCTCATCCCATTTCTTACTCTTACACTATACTGTAAAAGCCAGTATTCTAACGAGGCGCATATATAAAGATTTCCCAAATTGACTAGTTTACGTGTACTAAAGATAACGATTCTGTCTCATTCTCAACCCTCAATAGGACAGTATATGTATCGATTCCTGTATAATGATTTCTATTTTAACGACAGATTGCTCCTCGTTAACTCGTTAGAGTTAGCACTTCGTTTTATATATATGGCTTTTACATTACTCCACATATTTTGAAACACACGGATGCGGGCACTGCTCCATAACTGGCTTATGGCGCACTACTATTTAACTCGCATGGGTCATAAACCACTCCTGCTCAAATCACGCCGACCCATTTGGTCGTATACAGCTCCTGCCCTCGGTAGGCCGATCACACGATTCGTTAACGGAGTTATGATCACCCTGTCGGGATTTAAGAATGGGGTTATATATATTTTTTGGAATGGGTTTGCTCCCACACTGGAGCTGGCGCTATTTTGCCGGCTTGACCTGACACTTGACTGACTCACGACTGCCATCCAGTGATATTAGCGATTTTAATAAGATAAGGGAAAGTCGAAGATTGAAGACAAGTATTGAAAAAAGGCTGAAAAAGAAGGAGCAATACATTCGATGTGGCCTTCAGGATACTGTGAGGAAGACAATCCGGTTCTGGTGCTTTGCTGCTGTCGAGGGAGGCAAGCCTTGCCCTGAGGTCTGTTACAGTGACGTGCTTAAACATACCAAATGCAGATTGAGGCACCGGTCTATCTGGGGTGTCGTACCTGAGGTTGGAATCAGTCACTATCTTGTGGAAGAAGGTGTTCGACTCGTCAGCTGCAACCGCAGGTGGGGCGAGGGAATGACATCGATTAGTGATGTGGTTGATGGTGGACCACAACAGCTTTGGGCTCTGCTTATATTTTGGGCACACATTCTGGAAACGGGAATTTCTAAGTTGACGGTAGAGAATTATTGTTGCACCGAGTTCTCAGAGTGGTAGAACATCGCTGTAATGTAGTGTCAGTGCAGCCACTTGCGCGATATCGATGAAAAGCTGATTTCCTCTGGCGGATGAGTGCCAAGAGCTCTGGGGTCAGGAACGGACAGTTCTTCTTGCCCGGTCTTGTGGGTCTACCAGGTTGTTTGTACGGCGTGACCATATCTAGAACGATGTTGAATTTCCCCAACCATTCATCAAGCATTAGATCGACAATGGCAGACGAGAACGAAGACAAGTTTGCATGCTCAAGCAGACCTATCGATTCTGGGAAGTTGATGTTCCTATGGTCGCGGTCTTTAAGGTAGCATCGTAAGCAGGTAGTTGTATATTAGTCTTTACGTCCAAAGCTGCATAAACCAGATCATGATCGGAGAACTCCCAGGGAGACACTACTTCGTCTCTGACTGCAGCCAAATTTGTGAGGATATAGTCAATTGACGAAGCAGATGAGGGGTGGTCCGTGTCGCAAAAAACTGTTTGGAGGTTGAGGGGAAGAGGTAGCAATGTGTTTAAGCTTTGATACACCGGCCTATTGGAAAATTGGAATTACATTGGAATCAATGTTCAGGTCGCCTAGCAAGATATTATCTTAGCCCTGGATGTGGTGGACAAGCTCCTGCACAGAGCTCCACAATTGAGCATCAGCTGAAGGAGGACAATGCAAACAACCAAGAAGAAATACTCTCCCAGTCAACTTTTCTGTAGAACGCAGCCAAATCATCTCCCCTCCATGGCCAAGTACACTCGCTTTGCAGATATTTGTTAGGGTGTAGGGGAAATATCTTCATTTTTCCTCTTTGATGATGATAGCACATCAATACACATTGTGGTCAAAATGTGAGGGCTTTTGTGCTAGTTTCAACAGCAGCTCAATGATCTGCTCTGTGGGCTTTGTGATAAATTTGTTATCGCATGTTTGCTGCGGGCCTTATGGCATCTTATTACCCCTCGAGGTTATCCTTCTGGCCTACGGCCCTCAGGCTAACCTCTCGGGGCAATATTATGTCATAAGGCCCTCCCAGAAATGACATCCCTTTCGATTTAGAAGTGTGAGTTATTTCGAGTTATTAGAGAGGTTAAGTAACACGTTTTTTGACTTTTTTCAAAGCGAGGTGAAAATTTCATGTTGTATGTAAATTTTAGAGGTTAAGTTACACGTGTGACATGACGTGAAATATTGCCGTGGCAAGATTCGGGTTTTGTTTGAACAGCAGAATTTCTCAGCACAATTTTTAATATCAAATCTTCCAACAATCTCGATAAAACTACGGATACTTACACAAATCCGATCGGGATGACCAAACGAAACTTCCAAAAACCCACGTCGCGAAACTACGTGCAGTATAGTCAGCTCACAATCAACTTTCAAACAGGTAACAAAATTGAAAATGACTTGAATTTTTGACGTAAAACTTCACGGACATAAGAATTTTACATGAAACTTAACCTCTCTATTGAAGTTTGAAAAAAGCGCCACATTTCGCTTGCCTGAGGTAGTAGTCACATGAGAACGGCATGACAAAATCCATTCAGCTTGTTCTTCTGGTGTCGTGGTACGTATGCGTTCACTTTTTTTTCTATCGATAGTAGCAGGCAGGTATAGTGGGATGGTCTAAGACCATGATTGAGAAAGAAAAGGTACCAGGGCAAGTCCTGCTTGGAAGTGGAATGATTTTTTCCAGCCGTGCTGCGACCCCAAAGGAACCCATTTAGCGCTACTGGGCCTTGCCTATGGTACTCTGCATATAAATGCTAAAAACAGGGCAAATAGCCAGTTCTAAAACTCCAGGGTTCTGGCAACTGGGGTCCTCAAATATTTTGGAAATGATTGCCAAGACTATCAACCAAAGGGTGACAGAATCGATACAGTCTCCAAAAAGAATAGCGCATCACGATAGGGGACGCAAGTTTGCTCAAATTGCGTGAAATACGCCAAATGCGTGAAATTGCAGCCGAAAGATCGCTGAAAAAAGAAGAAAAAAAGGACGCATAGTGTTTCCAAGCGGGATTCATACCAACGAATTATCTTACAAGAGGCAGGATCATGATCCAACTGACTAACATTGCTTTTACACACCAGACAGTGCCAGAAATCACTATACATGTATATCCCATGACGTCTATAGACGTCATCAGCGCATGGGGAGCATTTTCAATGACGTCTGTAGACGTCATCCGCGTTCAATGGGTTAATTGGGAACTCGTGGCCTGGCACGAGGGAAACATGAAGGCAGTTAATGGGATTTCAGTCTTTGACCACTTTGTGGCAGGTCTGATCTACTCACCTCCCACTGCTTAGGAGCTGAATCTGCGCCTTGTTTCTAGAGGGTGGCCGCGTTCTTACTAGGAATGCGGAAAACTCGGCAGAACCGTGACTTTTTTATGTTTCATGTATCTTTGCTGCCCTTTTTTTAGGAGGATCTTATGATCACTTATGACCTTTCAAAGAAATTCCTTCCCTCTGTTTGCTTGTCTTCAGGGCCGGACTGCAATTCATGCTGCCACTCTTCAGAAACACTTGGAGTGTCTGAAGTTGTTGTGTGCTGCTAATTTGAATCTTAATAGCAGCGATTATGTAAGTAGTAGTTTCAGTGAACTGCTCCTTATCTTAAAAGGATGTGCTTAGTTTAGAGAGAATAGAGAAAGGACCAAGGAACTACAAGTCATGCTATAATGCCCACTTACACCACCAGCTACTAAACAATCACCTCATGCGATAACATTGCATGACACTGACCTATTTTAGAGGGGACGGTTCGATACCGGAATGGTTTGAAAGCCAAATTTGTAAAGAACCAAACCGATCATCAGCGTGGATAGGTCACTCGAAATATGTTTGTGGAAGGAAACTGGCATGATAAAGTTTGCTCTGAGGCCAGAGTCAATCAAACTGAGCCACTCCTTTGCATTGGCCCATTGCCTCCAAGTTGCCCAATTTTTCGCTTCCAATCAGAGGTGGCTCCAAACCGGAAAAGTTGGAAGAGTGCATGTCAAACTCACTCTGAGTTCTGAAATTGGGTAATTGCTATCGCTTCTCGACGGCTAGTACAGAGTAACAATAAGCCTTGTGTGTTCTTCCATAAGTTTTCATTGGTATAAGGTGCTTTATTGGAGAGAGGCCACCCACTGTTTACCTGCGACAAGAAGTTGATTTTTCGAAAGACGTAAAACTTAAGGTGGCAGTCTGGTCGTAAAATCCCTGAAAAATCGAATTTGTTAATTCATATCGAGTGCTACATCAGTTGAAAGAGCATTAACAGCTGCAAAATCCCTGAACATTTTGTCTCGATCCGACCAGCCGTTCAAGAGTTATGGCCGAAAATGTGCCCTTGCAAGGAAATATTTTTTTCTTGCACTCTGTCATTTGTTGGCAGCACTGTATTAGAATGTGAGCAGATCGTGCGCAACTTGTCGTATCATGGAAACACGCGAAAGTGTGCAGAATTTTGCTCCAAGTCCAAAAAAGTCCAAAAAATCACATTAACCCTTTACCGGTCTACCATAAGGGAACCGATACTATAGTATATAGTTGGCCCTCATTTTTTGGGGTCTTGTTGCTAGAAGGCAGCTTAAATGGCGCTCTACGCGTAGCTGAGGTCCAAGGCTTTCTGACGATGTACAAAACAACCATGCTTACCATACAAATTTTTGCCGTATCGATCGACTGAAGTTTGTTGAAATTGGAAAAGACGACCGTCCGCCATGCGTGCATTTCGAGAATGCGAGTGCATCTCTTGGGGCCGTGTTTGACAAGCGTTCTGAGAGCAGTAACACCACCAGTCCAGGCTAGATCTCCCGGGAGGTTTTGCAGTGTAGTGTGTTGAGAAAAAGAGCTCCGTTGAGTCCTGCTAGTTCAAAAATATATTGTCCATGAATGAAGAAACAAAATTCTCCAAACAGAGAGGAAGCCTTCTTGCTGCCGACACGGCGACAGCGACTGTCACAAGGATTCGTCAGGTGCGATCAGCTGATTCGCCTGGCCGTGAGAATCACGGCATGCGTAAACTCGCGCCTGAGTGCTCATCTGAGCGAGAGTGAATCTGACGCGAGCAGCCCTGAGATGAACAAACCGAAGCTGCCATATCGTGGAATGGGAATTGCTGCTGCTGGCGTATCGCCGATGGCGAGGTATTGGTGCTCATTGGCGGTATTGTAGAGAGCCTACATTTCTTGTAAAGACGTAGCCCTTACCTGTTTGTTTATCGTACGACTTCAGCTCCATCACGAACTTGGTATGCCCTTCAGGCTGTGATATTCGTGTATTTCATTCGCAATTGATGTATATGCCACATTTGACCTGTAGTTCATGTACTCCCGTACTAGATTTGTACCACAGTTGTATGACCTCGCACCATAACGGCTTTTTACACTTCGTTGAAAGAATTACACACTAGCTGTGATTTTCCAGACGTTGTTTTGTGCTCACAATGTTCAGCACACACATGTAGTACCTGTCGCACAAGCCTGACACGTGTGCGTGCTGACACCCTGCGTGACAGGATTGTCATTGGAATTAGTGATGACGCTACCCGGCACAAGCTATTGTCTGCCAAGGATTTGACCCTGAACGATGCAGTCACAATTTGCCGGGCGGAGGAAGCGGCTACCTCGACGAGCAGCAGTATCCCGTCCACCAGCCAGCTCAATGCTGTGCGGCGGTCCGCGTACCAACGCAGTAAGCAACAATCCCGACAGGGACAGCCTGGCAGCAAGATGTCTGCACCTGTATTGCCATCTGCATCCGCTCCCTCGTCAGGAAGCGACACACACAAGAAGTGCCCCAATTGCGGCCGGAGCCCGCACACAAAGTCTAGTTGCCCTGCCAGCGGCAAGAAATGTAATGGCTGTGGCAAGACAGGTCATTTTCTCGCTATGTGTAGGTCGTCGTCACAATCGGACCGGAACATGAAGCATGTGGGCCAACTGAAGTTGCAGCGTACTCGTCTTGCTGCGCAGCCTACTGTGCGTGTGTCCACCCGTTTAGCCACTGAGGATGAGGCAGTCACGCTACCCTGGGTCCCTGATACTGGCAGTGACGTCGATGCCATTGGCGAGCATCATCTCAAACTGCTTGGCGGGTTCCCCGAGAACCTCGACCATGACCCAGAGTGCGTCTTAGCGGCATCTGGAGAGCAGTTGCAGAGCGTCGGCAGTATTCGTGCTTCACTTTAGGTTGGCGAAGTACAACACAGCACCGTAATCCACGTGTACAAGGGTCTGGACGATGCTCTTCTATCACGTTCATCCTTGAGTGCACTCCAGTTCCTCCCGTCAGATTGGCCTGCACAGTACCCTGCTGCTAATGCTGCCGCGCCACCTAAGGTCCGTGCTGTATCAAAGCCTGTTGTCAATCCTAGCTCTGCTGACATTGCTCGTGTTCGCGATGAGCTACTGCAGGAGTTCTCGGACGTGTTTTCCGACACTGGCTTGAAGGCGATGGCAGGTCCTCCGATGGACATCCAACTTCAGCCAGATGCTAAGCCGTCATGTGTCCATACCGCACTCCCGATTCCGTACGCGTTTCGTGACCAGGTCAAGTCACAACTGGACACAATGGTTGTCGATGGCATAATCGAGCCTGTCAGTGAATGGTGTCACCCGATTGTGCTCGTCGACAAGAAAGGTACCACTGAGAAACGCCTCACCGTCGATTTCAAACGACTGAATGACCAAGTCCTGAGACCAGCCCACCCTGTTCGCACCGCTCGCGATGTGGTTTCTGGTATTGGATCGGCACAGTTCCTCACCAAGCTTGACGCAAGGCACGGATACTGGCAAATCCCACTGAGTGCGCAGGCATGTCCAATGACCACATTCATCACCCCATACGGCAGGTATCGTTTCCTACGCAACCCCCAAGGCCTGATTTCCGCCGGGGATGTTTTCAACTGCCGCACTGATGCTGCATTCGATGCAATCCCGAATTTCGCCAAGGTTGTAGATGATTGCCTGGCCTATGATGACGACTTTGCCTCCCATGTCACCCATGTCCGTGACATCCTGCTGTGTGCTCGACAGCATGGCATTACTCTGAGCCCGTCCAAATTCACCTTTGCGTCACGTCACATCCATTTCTGCGGCTACATTGTCAGTCCAGACGGCTGGGTTGTTGACGATGACAAGGCAGCGGCTATTCGCGATTTTGACATTCCTGCGAACCGCACTGATTTGCGTTCGTTTCTTGGCCTGGTGAACCAGTGTAGCGAGTTCTCACCACACCTCGCCGCCTGCACCACTCCGCTTCGTGGTCTGTTGAAGACGACCCGTGAATTTGTCTGGGATGCCAACCACACTGTTGCGTTCGAGAAGACCAAGTCTACTCTGCTGTCTCCTCCTATCCTGGCCTTCTACCAGCATGGACACGACCTCCGTCTGGAGACTGATGCCTCTGCACTACGTGGTCTCGGCTTCGTTCTGTGGCAGAAGCAGGATGATAAGTGGCGAATCATCCAGTGTGGCTCCCGCTACCTCTCTGACGCCGAATCTCGCTATGCTGTTGTTGAGCTCGAGATGCTCGCCGTCGTTTGGGCTGTGCACAAGTGCAAGTTGTACTTATCCGGCACCCTATTTGATCTGATCACTGATCACCGTCTGTTGATCCCGATTATCAACGCGTATTCTCTAGATCAGATCGAGAATCCTCGCCTTCTCCGCCTTCGCCTGAAGCTGCAGTCGTTTCAAGTGCACGCTTCCTGGCGAAAAGGCTCTGATCACGCGTTTGCTGATGCGCTGTCTCGCAATCCCGTCGGCATCCCGTCTTCAGATGATGAACTCGGCGAAGCCCCTGCTCTTCATTGCCGCAGCATCAGTGTGTGCATGCTCCGTGATGATGGTCCTCACCCCAACCTGAAGTTTGCTGAACTTCGAGCAGCTGCCTCAGCTGATCCAGTCTATAAGTCTCTTGTCCAGTGCGTTCTGCATGGTTTTCCCGCTCGTCAGCGTGATTTGGATGCTCCACTCCAACCCTTCTGGAATGGACGTGAACACCTGTCAGTGGACCAGGGCATCGTCATGAAAGGCCAACGCATTCTTGTTCCCTTGGCTATGCGTCAACGCGTTCTTGCTAACCTTCATGCCTTCGTCGTGGTCTACTGGAGTGGCGGAATACGCCCGGTCCGTCTGGCGAGAGCCCAGCTGAGCATCTTCTCGGGCATCCACTTCGGTCTTTCGTCATTGCTGAGTGGACGCAGTTTGATTCCTCGTGGTCGACCGTCGCTAGTGAGCGTGAAGAACAGTCACCACCCTCGACACCTGTTTCCGCCAGTACTCCCACCCACCGCTCTCTTCCCGTTCTCCGTATCGGCACTCCTGTGGACGTCCAGGATCCGAAGACGAAGCGTTGGACAACCCGTGGCGTGATTGTGGCCATTGGGCAGCACCGTGACTATTTCGTCAAGTTGGTTAGTGGTCGAGTTTATTGGAGAAATCGCCGTTTTCTTCGTCCGTTCTCTCCACCCGTGCCGTCACCAGCACCATGTGTTTCACCACAGCCGTCTGTTGTCGTTGCTCCTGCTACGCCTCCCCCTCTGCGTCGCAGCACACGAGCACACCAACCACCCTCTCGTTTGAACATTT